ACACTTAAATTTTGAGTGTTAGAATTACAACTAAATGCATAAATGAAGACGAATAACAAACACGATATATGAATTAACGTGAATGTTAATTAATTTAGAATTAGTATCAAAGAATATATACATGACAATGAATATTAAATTATTTATACTAAATGAATATAATTTAGTTTCCAATTAAGTGAAAATGGATGTTAATTAGCATACATGAATTTGAGTAATGAACTGCACTTGAATGTGAAATTCTAATTAATATTAATTAAATCCATGTGAATGTTAATTAACTGAGAATTAATAACAGTGACATGGATGTGAATGTGAAATTCTTATTAATATTAATTAAATGAATGTGAATGTTAATTAATTGAGAATTAATAATATGGACAAAGATTTTAGAGTATTTATTATAATTTGTGGATTAAATACATATTGAAAAACAAAAGGTAAGGCATTATCGAAATAATTGAATTGTAGTAGGGATATAATCATCCAAAAATGATTCTACTTGATGTGATATTTAATATATTGTAGATAAGTTTATAACAAGTCCATTTAGCCAATAAGAATTTACTACATCCAACTGTTTTGTGATTTTATCGTAAGTGTACAATATCGATTAACGAGTAATAAAGTTGATATAAAAGTTCGAATCATCGTTCACACAAGAACTATATATCTAAATATTGATTTAACTATTCATAACTTTAATTCAAGTAAAACAATAACTTGGTTTTAGTTATAATACCAAAATTATAAATATAAGAAAACAATTAAAATGTGTGGAAGTATCAATTTTAGGTTTTAACTTGTATATGAAAGAGTTAGAATTCACGATTTCACCGTAGTTATCTCATTTAATCTCGCATCTAAAGTCCCTAAATTTTTTGCTTTGCTAATTTTGGAATTTCAACTTTTCATCTCATCAATTTTGGTCTTTTCTCTATTCAACATATCCAGCTAGGCCCTCAACTTTCATATTGATGCTTTTCGATCTCTATTTCAACTTTTTCATCAATTTTTGGTCATTTTTTTTTAATCTAAGACCTTGATTGATTTCCATTTTTTTAAAAAATACATTTTTCTCTATCTTTTGTTTCAACCACATATTTTTCAATAAAATAATATTAAACACAATTCAAAAAATTTACTTCATTTTTAATCAAATATTTTCCATTAATCTACTATTTCAAAATGCATTATATATATATAAAAAAAAAATGAAGCTCAAACAGACCGTAAATCTTCAATATTATTTCACAACTTCCAAAAGCTCACACATTGGTCCTCACCCTCCATAATCATCCGAAAATTGCTTATTTTCAAGTTTCAAAATGTGTAAATTAGTCCCCAAATTTTTTATAAGTTGAATTTCATTTCCAAAACTTGTGATTTTTCTCGATTGCTCTTTTATTGCTTCTTATTAATCTCGTTCAATCTGATTAGCCTTCAATTTAGCTCAAAACTCCTCTTTTTGCTCCAAATGCCTCCAAGTCCAGGTTTTATCTACAATAATAAAATTCAATTTACATTAAATTACATAGAAAACTGCTCAAATTTGCAAATATAATTCAAATTTATAAGTATAAATAATTGTTATGCCTCTTCCAGCGAGGCTCCAAATATGGCTATGTGATAACCACACAACAAGTGAACACAGGCCCACACTCCACATCATTATATTCATTTGGCAATTTTGATCGTACCATTGTGAAGAGGCCGAACCCCTATGGAAAAGGATAGACCCATGTGCAGGGGCCAAACCCATATGAAGGATCGAGCCTTCATGGATGAGGCAAGGCAATTAGAGACGTTGAGAGAATTTTTCGTACAAGATCTTCCATTTATGGTTGATGTGAAAACGCACCGCAACAATCACTTTACCAAGTTAACATATCAAGTCTAGCCCATATGTGTCAAGCCTAGAGCTGTAAAAAGGTCATAACATTGAATGCGCCTAACCCTAAGACTAATCGATTCGTGCCTATAACAAGGTGCCTCAGCCACTAGGATGAGGCTACATGTCTCTTCATTTAACGGTTCTTATTCATTCGTTTTTATTATAAAATCTCACATATTGTGTCATTCAAATGTTATGTAAGTTTATTCTCTCAACAAATAATTTTTGCACACACACACACACACACACTCTCTCTCTCTCTCTCTCTCTCTCTCTCTCTCTCTATATATATATGTGTGTGTGTGTGTGTGTGTGTGTGTGTGTGTGTGTGTATGTATTCTCCCAGATCCGAACCCTTATTACTTGAGTGGCTCACATTTTAAACACATCTCATACCCAAATATTATTCCTACAAAGGTTGACTTGATTGTCGGAGTGTGCATGATCGCTTCTACCACCACTCAAGATTGGCCACGTGCTCTAATAGTTTTGTCCTAGTGTGCAGAAAGAGGATACGTGAACGTGAGAAGGACTCGAGATCTTTTAGCTACGTTACCCTTAAAAAAAACGAGGTTAACAATAATAGTATTAAACACACTTATCACCGACCTTAAAATTAACATGAGTAACTCATGTGTCCATAATGTGGATTTTGGCATTAGATTCTCCAATATTATTATATCAATGGGCTAGTTGTCTATTTTAGTGGTGAGTAACACTATTTATCTAGACACTGATGGTCAGTAATTTAGGTTACAACCGGTAGGTTCGGTCCAGTTCCTCTACTAAATGGGTCAATTTTGGGACCGTACGTCGATAATCGATCAATTTTGGTCCGATGATTCTCGATACTGTCTTGAGAACTACTAGTGAATTCTGCTCTTCTCAATTTCTTTTTCTTTTTTTTTTGCACCTAGATGCACTATATCTTTAAAAACTAGACCTCAGAATTATCTCACGTTAAAATTTAATTTTCCATGCACTTCTTCTTCTTTTCATTTAATGGGTAATCAAAATTAAAATCAAAATAATTTTATAAATATTGTACAAACTCTTAGTTTTAAAGCAACACAATAGAAAAATATATAACTTTAATTTAATATTTCATAAGAATTCAAATTTCTCGTTGTTTTCAAAATGATCGGCCATCAAGAATCAAGATCCTTGAGGATTACTAGAGATAATCGGGTTATTGTTATTACTAAAGATAATCAAGTTGTTGTTATATAGATTTTCATAAGAATTAATTTTCTTTCGAGATTTTACCATTATGATGGGTTCCATAGTTTATTTTTCCCCTTTATGATTTGATCTTGAGTTTTGAAGTGAATTTTAGTTTGTTGTCTTATTTAATTGATTTTTTATATTGTTAGATTAAACGAATGACAAGTGATTTTATGATCTACTTTTATCTATTTTAAGTTTCAAGAGTAGTTTCATACTTTATTTTTATAAATTTTTCTATATAAAGAATCGGACCGAACTGAATCAGAACCAATTGGTTCGGTTTTATAGTTGAATGTGGAATCAATGGTTCAATTTCTAAGATTCTCATAGGTATTCAATTTCGTTCGATTCCCTTTAAAAACGGACTGAATCAAACCGTGCACACTCTTAGTTGAACTTCTTCAATGCTTCTTTACTCTCTGAAGTTTGTCCTATAATATAATCAAATTATCATTTTGTCTTCCTATCAAAGATTTCTTGAACATATCCTTTTCTAATTTTTCTTTTGATCATTTCACATGCCTTTAACCATTGTTTGTATATATCTTGATACGATTTTTGCCTAGTTTGTATATCTAGTTCTTCACCATCACTACTATTGTCACTGTTAGAGGCTTCATTTTTAATCTCCATTCTGTGTGCTTCAGTGAGTTTTGCAGCAATAGAATTAGCACATGTTTGTCTCCCATTCTTTCAAAAAAAAATTCTTTAGTACATTTTTATTCACACATTCACGTAATAAAATATTCTACACGTAAACCCAAAATTTTTCTTACTTTTTAACCACACATTCTCTAAAAACACTATTCAAAACATTGTTTTTCCAAAAAAAAAAAAAAATACCACCTAACAGGAGCTTAGTGTAGCACTTCCCTGATGCAACATCCTGCGGAGTTCATTATAACTTTATTGCATTACTCTGACGCTGTTTTGTGTGTGTACAAAATTGTTCAAATGTTCTTCAGATTCTTCATGACTCTCTTCGATTTCGTCAGACTTCAAGTAGTAGTCATAGCTTTCATTTTCTTCTTGACCATATCCTTCACATTCCCTACACGGGATACCCTTGTTTTTCTTTGTGGAGAGTGAATGATTATTGATTCAAAGAGAATGAAAGTTGAACTTCATTTTTAAAACGTCAAAAACTTACTGGTTCATTACATTGCCAAATATATATTTCATTACAAGAAGTTTTTAGCACCAATGATAGTCAACAGCTCCAAACCTACTACAAGTTAACTTGTTGACTGCTTTTCTAATGATTATACAAAGACCATACATATGAAATATTTTAAAAAGTTACACTACCAACCATTGTCCTTAATTCAACTGATTATAGGTACAAAAATCATCACACTTCAGCAGCAAAAGTATCAATTGAATCTCAACATTCTCTTTGTCACTTTTTCTGGAAACACAAAGGCAGCTTCTTAGTGTTTCAAACCTTGCTTTAGCTAATGATTTGGTTAGAATGTCTGCATATTGATCCTCAGATTTGCAATGCACAATCTCCACTTCCTTTCCTTCCTGAGCTTCTCTAATTGAATGGTATTTGATCTTGATATGTTTGGTTCTTCTATGGAACACTGGATTCTTCACCATTTCAACGGCAGATTGATTATCAAAATAGATGATGTTGCCTCATTCTCTTTGTGTTTTAGAACTTCTAACACTTTCCTCAACCAAATTGCAACACTTTCCTCAACCAAATTGCTTGATTAGTAGCTTCTGATGCTGCAATATATTCAGCTTCTGTTGTTGATCGAGGCACCGTTTTTTGCTTCATTTAGTTCCAACAAATGATACTTGATCCAACATAAAATATATAACCAAAAGTTCTCTTCATATCTTCAGAAGATCCAGCCCAATCACTGTCAGTGAAATCGGTTAACTTCCATGTTTCAGACTTTCGAAACTAGAGTCCCAACTCTTCAATCCCTTGATATATCTCAGAACTCTTTTTGCTACTTGAAAATGTAATTCACTCGACTCTTGTCTGAATCTTGATAGGATATTTGCAGCAAATGTAACATCTGGCCTTATTGCAGTCAAATATAATAGACAACAAACCAAACTCCTGTAAACTTTTGCTTCATTCTTTTTGGCATCGTCTTCCTTCATCAATTTTAAGTTCCTTATCTGTCATTTCGAAAGCCTTCTTCAATTCTTCTATCACTCTTCCAATCAATACAAAGCTGCTGCCTGTGATCAAAAGACCATCAACATATAGTAAAATGATGACCATTTCTTCTTCCACTAGTTTCATATACAAAGTTTGATCATTAAAACTTTTTGTGAAACCAAGACAGCCAAGATGATCATCTATTCTGCTATACTAGGCTCTTGGGGCCTACTTTAAACCATATAATGCTTTCTTAAGTAGATATACCTTGTCTTCATTTCCTCCCACTAGAAAGCCTTCGGTTGTTCAATGAAGATCTCCTCATTCAATTGTCCATTTAAGAAAGCTAACTTGACGTCTAATTGATAAATTTTTCATCCTCTTTGGGCTACTATAGCAATCAACAACATTATGGTTTCATATCTGGCCACATGAGCAAATGTGTATGTGAAGTCAACACCATACTTCTGTGCATAACCCATAACAACCAATCTAGCTTTGAGCTTGTTAATTGAACCATCAGGATTTAACTTGGTTCTATACACCCATTTGACACTAATCACTTGTTTATTAATGGTCTATCAACTAGCTCCTGGGTTTCATTTTTTTCAATCATGGTTATCTCCTCCTTCATTACAGCCATCCAGCCTTGTGAATTTGCTGCTTCGACAAAGTTAGAAGGTTCTAATACAGCTGAATTGCAGCTAGCATACACATTTGCCAATGACCTCATCTTTGTCCTAGCATTCTCTGAGTCTGAAACATGATCAGGTTCTGCTTCACCTTCACTAGTGCTTGTGTCTTTGTTTTATGGAATGAATTTTATTTACTGAACTTGTCTTCCAATTCCATGAAGATTATTCATCGACTTTGATGTCTCTGTTGGAGAGGATTATAAACTCTGTATCACTTAGCATTTCCACAATATCCAATCAGAATTCCAATTTCAGCCTTCTCACTCAGCTTATCCTTTTTTTGTATCTAGAATATGGGTAAAGCAGACACTGCCAAACACTTTCAAATGTGTAATATTAGGTTTGACTCCATACCAAACTTCATATAGAGTTTTCTTTTCTAAAGCTTTTCAACCTTTAGATAATTCCTCTATATCAGCATTGTTCATTGCTTCAGCCCAAAACTCCTTTGGAATCTTCTTCTCAAACATCAAACACCTGGCCATCTCCATCACTATCCTGTTTTTCCTCCCACACACTCCATTTTGCCGAGGAGAATAAGGTACAGTCAATTGGTGCTTGATTCCCTTAGAGTCACAGAATTCGTCAAACTGGTCACAGCTATATTCAATCCCATTATCTGTTCTGATTGCTTTAATTCTGCAGCCGCTTTCATTCACCACAAGTTTTTTGAATTTTTTAAACACTTCTGCAACCTCAGATTTTGTTTTCAAGAAATAAACACAACACATTCTTGTCATATTATCTATGAAAAGAATAAAGTATCTGCTGCCATTCAAAGTGGTTGTTGTCATTGGACCACACACATTTGAATGGATCAGTTCAAGTTTGTTTAAGGCACTTCTTAACTTGTTTTTTCGGAAATGGAAATCTTCTTTGCTTTCCAAATTGGCAAACATCACATACACAGGAATCTTCATTGATCTCAAGCATATTTTTAACAAGATTAAATTCATGCAAGTGTTTGAGTGAAGTATACTTTGCATAACCAAACCGCCTATACCATAGAGAGGACTTAACTACTTCAGATGAAAGTGCATGTGTGGTGATTTTTTCCAGTCTATAGGAAAACTTATATGCTTCATTTCGACAGTCATTAACTCATAGCCATTTCCATCTAGTATAGTGCAGGCTCTGTTTTTGAATATTAGGATGTGATTTTTCTCAAGCAATTGGCTTACACTAACTAAATTTTGATTTATTGCTGGCACATAAAGAACATCTGATATGTGTATTGACCTATGGTTGATTATAACCTTAATATTTTGATTATAACAAACAAGCCATTTTATTTACTAACATTTGATTTTGAGTGATGATAGTTCAATGTTAAACTCGATCAAGAATTGCCAAATGAACACATCATAAATCGGACTCGAAATGAAGATCAAAGTGAAAGTTAGCATTCGAGACGACAGCGATTTGCATGTGACGATCAAATTGAAACTTGAAGATTCGCAATAGGCACAAATCAAGATACAAGCCAAAAGAATGACAAGTCAAGACGATTAAACATTGTACATTTATATGTAAAGGTATTAACTCGTCAATTTTTAGCAAGTGCATAAAGCTTAAATTATTTTCATAATC